AGTTATTTAGAAGATACCAGATACAACCACTAGTGGTTAGTTGTCTTTTCCTCGTATTTCAGGAATCGAATGTTCCCGTCTCCAAGTAACTTGACTCAGATACTTTGGGCTCAGTTTTTTATACAGTTCTGTGAATACATAAAGTTTACTAAACTTAAATGGCTAGGATATTCACTTTGTACTTCAAATGTGTGATTAAATCCATTTAAGTATGGCAATAAACATAGTAATATGTTTTCTCCTTCTATGGACTTGTCCGTACGTTATTTTACGTATTCGTAAACTCTATGTTATCGTAACTACCCTGATTAAATGTGAAATTCTCCTAAATGTATATATATATCCACCCTTACACTTTTGTTCTTTCAAGCATTTACTGATAGTTACCTCTGTTACTTAATGAAACTTAGTATTTAATATAGACCTCTTTAAGGCCTCCCTCGGTCATTTCACTTCAAGTTAGACAATGTAGATTACTTTGAAACCGTTATCTTATTTTAAGGCATGTGACCTGGTACTATACCTTCTCTTTAACTTCCTATTTTTTTTTTCTTTTGTAGGATAGATCTAAGAACAGCTGTTTCTCGACACGCCATATTTACTTAGTCATTCATTAATGGTCAAGCTAGTATTATTTAATCACAAACACCTTAGGTGTGAAAAAGAAAAAGGTGCGGCCAAATTGGATTGAGCATACGACTTAAAGGAATGAAATCAAATGTGGCGGCCAAACTGGTAGCTACACTTATAGCACTGATAATAATTTTACAGCAAATATTCATTCATTTGTTAGCCAGGCCTGCAGGTTGTTTTGGCCGCACTACACGCTCCCATGTGTCTTGATCAATGAATTAAATTAACATAAACATGAGTACGGATATCATAACTAAGTAAGCCAACTGAGAATAAAATACAGTGGATCTTTCCACCAAAGGTAAAAGTGAAATATAACCTGTGACATAGAGGCCTTATGCAATCTTTGATTTGCCTTACCCTCTGTAGCGGTATGTCTGCGGACTTACAACGCTAGAATCCGGGTTTCGATACCAGTGGTGGGCAGATCACAGATAGCCCATTGTGTAGGTTTGTGTTTAATTACAAACAAACAAATTACCCTCTGTAACTTAAGGCTCACCAGCACAGTTTGGGTAAGGAACCCAAAGAAATAGTTAAGCCTCTTGTAAGATATAATAAATTATCTGTTGGTCCGCTGTATAACATCGAATGATACATTAAGTGTAATGCCATAATATTATTCACGCACCTGTAAATTAGGTTATTATATGGTGAGTTAAAAAAGGACTAAAAGAATCCTATAAAAATGAAAATAAGATTATAATAATAGTAATAATCTATTTTATGTAACTAAACATTTTATTATTACATATATGATATATAGTTTAAGCAGTGGGAAATTAGGCTAAGAACTGCAGGGTTGAGTATATTATATTAAACCGATTTTGAATAACCAAATCAGCAAGTCACTTGAGAATGACAGCCGATACAACATGACGGGGTGGTACAGAATGCATCAGACCTACATGTTGATATTCTTTGGCGTTTTGTAAATAGTGGTTTGCTACCGAAAATTCGTCGATTTCAGGAAGTGTATGAATCAACCCTTCATGACGCAAAATGTTCATTCACTGAGATGATAAGTATATGTTCAAATCGGGGATTTAGGATTTCCAAGACGAAGATATCTCTTAATCGTAATGGATTTGGAAACAAACGAATGTGGATCAACTAAGAACACCCAAACTGTTCAGAACGAAACTTACAAGAAATCTTACTCCAGTCGTGATAAACAAAGTGCGGCAGCTTGTAACACGTGAGAATCCATGAACACAAAGGTCATTGACAAAAGCCATCCATATGCCCCAGGTAAAAGTAGGCAACATAATCAAGAAGAATCTACATCTGGAAAAATATACAAGTCAAATGTACTCAGGCTGTTCCTACAATATATTTATTCAACCGTCGCCTACCTCAAGTAGATGGAGAATGGAATGCTATCCCGTATGAAGACATATCAAATGTACTGTCTATGGATTTCTGTGCAATCAAACTGTTGAAGCAGATACTAAGAAGACACCGTTCTCGTACACTAAACGGCTTATGGAAAGTCAGTAGGGAAGAGGGGTATGATTTGGACAAAACCTTTTGCAATGGAAACTACGCTTCAGGACTATCGCCATAAAAAGGAATTGTCATTATGTTTTATAAAGCTATTATTATAATATAATTATATATATATATATATATATGAATTTCAAGTTGAAAATCAACAATTCTGGGCACAGCTTTGCACGAAATTCTGAAACAAACAAATGTACTGTATATGCTATTCTAACATTATAAGGCTTCCACACTTACTCTCCCTGGGTCTGCTGAGTTATGAGAAATCAACAATTCTGGGCATAGCTTTGCAAGAAATTCTGAAACAAACAAATGTACTGTATATGCTATTCTAACATTATAAGGCTTCCACACTTACTCTCCCTGGGTCTGCTGAGTTATGAGAAATCAACAATTCTGGGCATAGCTTTGCACGAAATTCTGAAACAAACAAATGTACTGTATATTCTATTCTAACATTATAAGGCTTCCAAACTTACTCTCCCTGAGTCTGCTGAGTTATGAGAAATCTTCAATTCTGTAGCATTTCTAAATTACACATTTTAACAAATTCCTGAGTCGTATTTTTGCTTATGTTACTTTGTTGTGTACAGTGAGCGTACAATGCTCATGGTAAAAATCAATGGACCAATGTAATAAGCTGTTCCTATTTTTTTTTATAAAGTTGAAGAGTTTTAATAGATATATTTAATGGACTATAAAGACATAAAATATCAAAATAAATACGAAATGCAATAAATTAAAGCAATAATCCAAACTTGCGAACCTGTATTTAAAGACCCAATGTATGCATTTTCTATCTTTATGGTAATTATGAATATTTGCAGATTTAGTTAATCTGATGGCAGAGAACAACAACTGTTATTATCTTTAGGACTTTTTCAAACTTTACTATAAAATAAATCGTTTGCAAATAGTGCATAAACGAGAATATAGATGACAGCATTTTATACATATGATGTATTTTAACAGCGCCATATTTATATCACAGGAATCCTTTCCCTTATCAGGACTAAACATTTTTTAAATTTTAATTACTGTTATTTACTGTAATGTAAATTTGACATTTTATTGTTGTTTGATGTCTGTAAATATGAAATTTTCTTCCCCTTGTTTCAAATTATACTTCTCTTGTTTTTAAATTCACTCATACTTGTTTTATTCTAACAGTTTATTACAGTGCTTTGGAAACGTATTCACTCCCTACCAATAATGTCTCATTTTGGTGAAATACAAATAATGTAAACATTTTTTTATGAACTTGTTTTTATTCAAAACTGTAATGATCAAACTCAACACTGTTATGCGTGAAGGAGGTTGAATGTCAGCAAAATCCGCAAAGAAAATATATATAAACTGAAATTTGCTGATTGCATAAGTATTTAGCTCCTTAAGTCAGTACTTGGTAGAAGCACCTTTGGCAGCAATTATTGCTGTGAGTCTTTATGGATAGATCTCTACCAGGTTTGCCCAATGGTATCGGGTAATTTTTGCCCATTTTTCCTGGTAAAATGACTCCAATTCTGACAACTTCGTTGGGGATCGTTGATGGACTGCAATCTTCAAGTCTTGGCATACATTTTACATTCGATTCAAGTCAGGACTTTGACTATGCCACACCAGGGCATTCACCGTGGCAAAGGGGTTGAATACTTATAGAATTGAGAATATATATATATATATATATTTTGAATCTAACTTACTTACATAATATCTACATTTCTTTAGCTTTCTCAGCTTGGAGTAGATTGTGTAGATTCTAAATATAAAATCCCATTTGAAAGTTTCATGATTGCAAGTTCAGACAGAAACAAAATGTGGAAACTTTGCAGAAGGGTGAATACTTTTGGAACGCCTGTACGTATTATCTGTCAGTGTTTTACTCTTTTGTTTATTTCTTTTATACAACAAGGCTTTTCCAAAAATTAATGCACACGCGATGTGATGTATATACTCCATTTCTTTGTTCTGTTATTGATTTTTATAATTTATTTCTCTATAATTTTTGTAACAATTTTATACGCTAGTCGATCTAAGCCTGCTAACGTGGAAAAAACAACGTGTCTGCTGGTGGGTCAGCGGTAAGTGCACGGACTAACAACTCTAAAACCCATGGTTCGGTTCTCCGCGGTGGACCTAGCACAGCTATGCCATTGTGCTGAAAACACACAAGCATTCTCCAAAATTATGATATTTTAGATGTGGGATCAGTCATGCTCCAAAACTAATAGTAATTGTAACTTCAAGCTACACTGAAGATTTTAGTAATTACTCAACTGTTATGGATGTAGTTTATTACCAAAGATTTGAGAGGAAAGTCCACAGAAATGAATCACGTTAGTTGACCGTAGGAACCTGTTTGGTCACTTTAACTTCCTTTTTATAGTTCTTGACATTTATTATGCAATTATTTTGAAAATAAAACATACTTTTATGTCAGGTTTTGTCATGATTAGTGTGAAACCTATAACAATGCAGAAAATTTAAGACTTTATGATGATCTTAGTGATGGCAGGGTTTTGGCTTATAATTACGTGATGGCAGGGTTTTACCTTATAATTACGTATTCCATTTTAGTATTGTTGCTATGACACTCTACAAATATATACCACTTTACATTGTTTATGTTTATGGATGTAATTATAAACTTTTCTACATTAATAAAATGTAAATCTGTGCTGTGTACTTATTTGTCATTCTTGTTGTTTCTACACTAATTTATTTCAGATCCTCTCACTTATGTTTATGTACCAAACTCTGAAAAACTACGTTTTCCACCTAGTAACCTACTGCGTATATTAAATAGTTTTTATAGTAATCTGAGGATGGCAGTTTTAAAAAGAAATCAAAAAGTTACCAAATACAGCTTACTACTTCTCTTTATTATTTCTTGTTTATTGACACTAGTTTTTATTCGTATTCTACTTTCTGATTTTCAGCACAACATTCGCTTGTATATATAGCGTTACATTGAGTGCTATTTCCGTTACAACAACTTTCGTATGCTGTTATAGCTGATGAAATTACAAGTTATTCGATTAGTTCAAATGACAATTTTCCATTCTTAGTTTACCAATCATCTAGTTTACAACAGGCGCCATCTAGAGAAAATCAAATTCAACTGATATTTTACATCATCTCTACGGATGTAACTCATTACTTTCACAAGTTACATTTATATGTTAACCTCAAAACTTTTCAAGATCGAAGAAGCTAGTCTACAGATTTTATAATACAAAAAATTAATATAAGAATGATTTACATGAAAGTATAACATATCATTTTAAAGGTTTCTTGTTTTCAAACTTGGTGGTGATTTATTTTTTGACAAATCTCAAGTAGTAGAACGCACCGACTGCTGCCATTTCAAGAATGGTTGACACAGCTATCAACTTCAATAGTCCTTGGACAGACGGTAAGTTACGCTCCAAAAAACTGGCTTTAAATGGCTTTATAGGAATAATCTAAAAATGAAATAAATATTATCACTGGAAATACTCAATCAATGAAAGAAAAATAGGACAGCTAATTTAACGAGTGTTCATAAAACAGTTTTCAATAATTGCACGATAAAACAAAATTCAATAATTCTATTTTAGTAAGGTATTAAATTCTACTAAACCACAAAAGAAAACATCGTAGGTCTCCACTGTATGTGTTCTTTAAGAACAATTAAGTTTGGCCGCTAAACAATTACATGCTAGCGTATGATGAGCGATTGTTGTTTTACATTTTCTTGTGAACTTACGTCTGAAGGAGGTTCTTCTTGCCATATCAAGTGACTTGAAAGCAGTCCCATTGTGTTCAAAACTTCTCGTGCAGACCGTTCACCAGCTTCGATAGCCCCTTCCATATAACCCGACCAATAAGTGGCAGTCTCTGTCCCAGCAAAATGCATCCGTCCGATTGGCTCACGAAGCACCCTAAAAATAAACACAGCATAGAAAGAAAAATATTATATTTAAAACAACAAAAATAAAAAAAAATAAACAGATACATTCTATCGTAATAATAAACGTAATAACAAAATAAAAACTTAACATCATCATGACGCAAATAGAAGAAAGCTGTCAGCAACCACCAAACAAAGAATTGAAAATACCAAATCTTGTAATGTTATCGAAATATGTGCAAAGAGAAAACCTACAGAAATAAAAAAATAAATGTAAAAAAAAAAACCCGTAAAGTTATGAGTGGTACATAACTACGTACTAGAGTTTAGATATCATTGACGTTAGCCCTTCTTGTCAATTATATACCAACTTGGGTAAGAATCTATGGCCCGGCATGGCCAGATGGTTAGGGCACTCGACTCGCAATCTGCGGGTTGCGGGTTCGAATCCCCGTCACACCAAACATGGTCGCCCTTTCAGCCGTGGGGGCGTTATAATGTGACGGTCAATCCCACTATTCGTTGGTAAAAGAGTAGCCCAAGAGTTGGCGGTGGGTGGTGATGACTAACTGCCTTCCCTCTAGTCTTACACTGCTAAATTAGGGACGGCTAGCGCAGATAGCCCTCGTGTAGCTTTGCGCGAAATTCAAAAAACAAACAAACAAGAATCTGCTGTGTATAACAGGTGAACAAGTGTAAAATTATTTGACGAACTAGTTTTTTTTATATATTTCTTTTTTGAGTGGGTGGGAGGGGCGTATTTTGATTACATTTTAAGATTTAACATTATATATATATAAAAATTTAGTGTTTTTTTTCTTATTATTTCCTTTGTAATTAATTAATTAATTATTGGTGCCTAAAAGCATCCATAACTGTACACAAGTGTCACGTTTAATAGTCAGAATTTAAAATATTACTTGCTGAAATATGTTGGATAAAATGTTTGTTTGTTTACTGTTATTATTATTAAGCAAGAGACTGGTATATGTTTTGTATTTTTACGCCATGTTGTACAAGCAAGTTTTTCTTACGTCTACTTTCTCGTTAGACGTCTCCAGCATTTTTTTAAGTATGTAATAATATTGCATTAGATGAGCCAAGTTATTCGTATAAAACGTGATTTATAAAAGAATAGGTAAGTTAGAACTTGAGACTGGAACCTGTGGTCTATAAATATTGAACAGACAGTGTATAAAGTCAACCCTAGTCTTGTAAAGGTAAATGGTAATATGGATGTTGAACCATTGATGTTAAACGCTTCACACGCTTGCTGGTAGGGTGGGTAGAACCATGCATGTAAGAACTGCTTGCCTCAAGCACTATGGAGTTGTTATATAAACGTTTCAATTACATTTACATTTGTGGTCAAATGCCCCTCCTTACTTCTTTTGTTTTGTTCTCCTGGCACTATATTTCTGTGATAACTATGTGTCCTGATCTCCCTTATGGTCCCAGTGGTTATGGAAATTTCTTCTTCCAAGTCTCTCAGTAGATGGTAGCTTGTAAAGAAGTTACCAGATGTATTTATTTTACAGTTTGGAGCATCTACTTTACAAGGTCCCACTGGCTCTTCTGTACATCTTCAGTTTATACAGATAGTAACCTTCGCTGCAAAGAGCTAAAACTATGTCGTCTACAATACGGTACATTTATTAATCAGTAGTGTGGTTTTAGTGGATTGTTTACTACATTATAGAAACACCTCACTTTGTGTCCACACTTCAAGACTAATATTATTTACGATATGAAAATAGATTTTAATTACTGTGATTCATGCCGTTAGCTTCAAATAGAAAGCTAAACCGGACTTGTTTACTAAATTTTCGTTTTTTTTTCAAAGTCTAGATTACTTTCGGTGACGAGGAACCCACTTTGAGACTAATAATGGC